TACTACTACTATATATATATATATATATATATATATATATATATATATATATATATATATATATATATATATATATATATATATATATATATATATATATATATATATATATATATATATATATATATATATATATATATATATATATAGTATATACTACTACTACTATATATATATGTATATATATATATATATATATATATATATATATACATACATATATATATATACACTTGTGGTGCCAGGTTTGATGATTTGGCGATATATCCTGACTCCCTACTCTTTGCCTTTGAACTTCAGATCACGAGTCGAATCGCACGGGATACTTTCAGAGCTATTTTGGATCCAGCCTCAATGTTCCTTCTTGGGACTGCTATGGCAACCGTAGTAGTTTTAGCCGCATATGAGGGAGCCTTAACACTCAACCCCAATTTTCTTTTTGGCGGGGATATGACTGCTCTCAAGTACATTGGCAAGTATAGCTATGAGAACACGGTATGGGGTTTTAGAGGAACGTAATCTTGGTAGTGACTTTTACCTACCAATACGTATATATATGCTGATGTTTATCTAAATGAGTTCGGTAGTCACTTGTACTTACCAAAACGTATACCTGTACTGTACGTTTATTTATGTTAGGTAGTGACTTATACCTTCCAATACGTTTACATATACGGTACGTTTATCCAGGTGAGCTCAGTAGTGTGGGGGACCAAACCCGGATACCTGATAGCGCAGTCGATGGGGTTAGACCCTGCGGAGGTTCTAAGGATATTTAGTCCTAAGATGATGTCAGCTGCCGATGCCTCTATGCAGTTGCAGATACAAGGTATGTACCACTCAGTGGGGGGTATATAGTACGAAGAGAAAGGGTTATGATATACAGCTCAAGGTATGAATCACTCAGTGCGGGGTATCTACATAGTATGAAGAGAAAGGGTTGTCATATACAACACAAGGTATAAATCACCCAGTGGGGGGTATATAGTGTGAAGAGAAAGGGTTATTATATACAGCACGAGGTATGTGTCACTTAGTGGGGGGTATATAGTGGGAAGAGAAAGGGTTATTATATACAGCACAGGGTATGTGTCACTCAGTGGGGGGTATATAGTGTGAAGAGAAAGGGTTATTGTATACAGCACAAGGTATGTGTCACTCAGTAGGGGGTATATAGTATGCAGAGAGAGGACTACCATATACACCACAGTGCCAGATTGGGTGAATGCTCATCCATTGGGAATTGCGGCTGTGGGATGACCACATTACCTTCATACCCATACCCTTCCCAATCCGCACCTATCAAACCGATTCACTCGCAGTTAATATACGCAATATTCTCGTAAGGGTTCTGACTAACTACACACACCTTACTATCAATAACAGGGGCCCAATTCGGAAGGTCCATAGCTGGAGGGTTTATGGTGATCGCTCAGTTGTTGCGTATTGTGACTGTGTCTGTACGAGCGGCGGATGAATACCATGAACGCGTAATGCAGGGACATGAACCGCCTCTAAAGGGTATCACGGGACGTATTGTCAGGTATATACGTTTACTATGTATGTGTGTATGTACTATCGCGTGTATGCAAGGACATGAACCGCCGCTGAAGGGTATCACGGGACGTATTGTAAGGTATATAGGTTTATCATGTATGTGTGTATGTACAGTCGCGTGTTTGCAGATGATATGATTATACACGTAGATAGAGAAATATAGGTTTGTTTGCCTTCGTGTTGGTATATGGTGTAGGTCTAGTCAGTGTGTCATTGAGCGTCTCTGGTCAGCAACACGTGTGTGTGATAAGGGCACATCAGTTGGAAGGGTATCACTGGAAATTTCTTAGGT